TAGTGGACAGAAATATTTTTTTGGAGTGGCACAAATAATTTGTGTGGCATCAAATTTGATGCAGAACACCTGATTGTTCTGTAAATAGTTTGAAATACCTAAAAACGCCTTGGCTGCAGTTTTTAGGTAAACAGCTGCAAAAAACTTTGTTGTTTGAATAACTCAGTTACTTTTTTAAAGAAGTAACTATATAATTAATTGCCCAGCATTGGTCATTATATGCTGTATTTTGCAGACAGAGAGTTACAGGACTCTCTCCCAGACCACAGACTCATACTCATAATACAAGTCAGAGCTTTATATAAAAAAAAGAAAAAAGAAAGCTTTGTTTTCAAAATTGGAGTTCAAGTTATTTTTACTTCCAATAGTGTTAACATACTACACAGGTTATGAACAAGATTTTTTTTAAATTTTCATTGTAAGTGGGCTAAAGCAGTTAATTAAAAGTAGTCTAACATAAATGTAAATGCTGTAAATTGATTATTTTAATAAACCATGTAACTTGGATGGATTCGATGCTGGCGTGACCACAGTGCACACGTCTAATGTTGCTCACAGTGGTTCAAGGGACCGCTCAGGGAGTTTGTGTGTTCGCTCAGACACATGAAAAACTAGAGAGAACATTGTGAACAACTGCTCGACTTCCAGATAGGTTTCTTTGCCCAGTTCTACCCCTGAACTAGGCCATCCCTTGGACTGTCCCTCAATTCTGCTTTGCCCTCAGGACACTCTTCCCCACTAATGTCTCCCCTTGCCCTTTGCAATCAGCTACCTACCCATGCACTGGATTTTTTGACACCTCAATTGTTTTATTTTCTGTTTCAACTCAATTTTAATAATAATAATAATTTTAATATGGCCTTTTTGAACATGAACCTGTAACAGTCCCTGTTCAGCCACCAGTTTGTAACAGCAGTTTTCCGAGGAAGAAGCGGCTAGCAGGTCCAGCATGTGGTGCAGAGGTTAGCCGGATAACTCGAGGCCAGTCAGTTAAATCGAACAACAGACCTTTATTTGATGTCAGCAACATAAGGACATACAAGCCAGGTCTCCATGGCTCTACTCCATCTGTACATACATTTGCTAGGATGGGTAGGCGCCTGTGCCAGCCCGTTACAATGGTGAGGTCTCTCTCGAAACAGACATACGAGCAGCATGTAATGGCTGCCACAGAATACTCACACACCCAGTAGGAGACTCCACCAGCTACTACAATAGCAGGACAACCCCCCCCCCCTAGTGGTGGGATAACACAATAAGTGTTTTTATAAACCTTGGTATAAATTAAATACGATTTTATGTGACTTGGGCTTCATTCTTCCTTTATGACACTTATAAACACAAAAATAAATTAACAAAACACAAAAATGTTACTCTTCAGCGATTTTTTGCTGATAACCAATTAACTCACAGTAGTAAATAATTAAGTTACTGGAAAGAAAAACAAAATGTCTCAAATGGCAAGTCATTTAGGCCCCACCCATACTCACACTTCTTCCTTAATGGGTGGTGTGCAAGATTAAACAACACAAAATGTCAATAAAAGAGAATGGCATAGAAATAAAACCTAATGACTGGGATCAGTGATTCAGAAAGCTGTCATGTGCTCAACTTTGAGAACCAATTTGCTCTTGCTTGTTTTGCTGTCTTGCTACTTTATCTTGGTCATATCTTTTTCTCAGTTTCCCCTCTCATGTCAGTTACAGGGACAGTTTGATCTAAATGGGATGTACAAGACTGGAGATGTGGTTCTAGGGGGACTGTTTCAAATCCACTTCTTTTCAAGTGTTTCTATTCAGTCTTTTACTTCAGAACCACAACAGCCTACTTGCAGTGGGTAAGTATAACAGGAAAACAGCATAGAAAAAGAAAAAAAAAAAGAAATGAAGATTATTGTAATGGAAATATGAGCTTTTAATTCATGCCTAAGGTAACTGTACTTTTCAGTTTAAAATCGTTTAGGATAAATGCATGTATCTTGAATTATACATTTATATTTGTTCATCAAAATATCCTGTTAATTGTTATTCAGTTTCTTTATTTGTCTATAAAAAGCCACATTTAAAGTATCTTAGATAAATATCTATCTTGATGAAAAATTATTTTTTTCAATAATTAACTTTTTCTTGTCTTAGTGTTTATGCCCTAGGATTTAAGCTCGCACAAACCATGGCCTTTGCTATTGATGAAATCAACAGAAACTCAAACCTGCTACCAAATGTGACTCTGGGATATACTCTGTATGATAGCTGCCTTGAACTTGGAATTGGATTTCGTGCAGCATTGTCATTAGCCAATAGTCAAGAAGAGAAAATTATATTAAATGATACATGTTCTGGAAATCCTTCAGT